CACAGACCCGACCCTTACCCTTCCCTTTAACCGTTAACGGGAGGTGTAGTAAGTAACACTACCTCGTGTCCCCTCCCACCCCCCCTCTCCACACACACACACACACACACACACACACACACACACACACACACACACACACTGATTTAGGGGATCTGAGCTGGGCTGTTCCTTCAGGAAGGGCGGGACCCAGCCCCCTCTTCTCCCCACACATTGTAAATAGTCCTCAGATCACAGGTCTCCCCCACACATGCCCTCACTCATTCCAGGGAAGCCCAGGTGAGCCCACTGCCACGTCTATCGGTCCTCTTGTTTTATGCAAAGATTTGCTGTAAGTAGATTTCTCTCTCCTCCCTGCCCCATCCTCTATTGTAAATATTGTCTCTAAATGTGTAACATATTATAAAGAATTTATAAGGATTTTTAAAGCTGTTTTGCTCATTTAAAAAAGTGTTGTAACAGTGTTGGATAAGCCTCCGGCCTCATGTCCGCATGTCTTCTTTCACCGTGTCCTTGCCACACCTCTCTAGGTGACAACTAAGAATTCCTGCTTCTGAAAAGTCCTGTCTGGAAAGTATAGTCTATATCTTGGAAATAAATGGCCTTCCTCGAGGCACGAGTCAGCTGTCTCGCTTGTTTTGGAGGGAGGAGAGGGCCAGAGCCGGGCTGGGATAGGGTGGGGAAGAGTGAGGCACCTGGCCCACAGAAGGGGGGCAGTGGGGGCTGGACCAGGTGGTGGCAGAACGGAGGCAAACCTCTGCTTCCTGGAAGCTCTAGGTGTCCTGGTGTCCTGGGAGACTGGTCTGAGCAATAACTTAGGCACAGAATACAGGATGGAAGGGCACTGACCCTTGATGCTGCAGGAGGTTTCATGTCCCTGTTCTCTCTTTTCCTGCAGAAGCAGGAAGGTGCACAGGCACCTGCCTTCTCAGGCCTGCCTGGACCTTCAGAATTGTCCATAGGTGCTGGCCAGCAGAGAGGAGGCTTGGGCAAAGCCCAGGCCACTGGCAGGTCCATCCTGGCCAGCTGTCATCATAAGCCCTCCAGATCCAGTCATATCCCAAGAGGGTGGTATGGAGTTTGCCCATTGTCTTACTCACTTGTGTAAGCTAAAACCTGGGATGGACTTCCTTTCACGTCATGGCTCTGTAGTTGTCCCTGCCAGCTTCAAGTCTGCCTCTGAGGAGCCCAGTAGCCATCTGTAGGAAAAACAGTTTTGGCAAAACTAAAAGCTAGTGTTATTGTGGGCTCACACTAGCCCCAAGGGCTTTATATGTCCTTAATCAATCCTCCAACACTTTTGAGATCTATCTGCACCATTGCTATCTCCATTTTATATATGCAGAAGCTAAGGCACAGAGAGTTGACATACTTGTCCGAGGTCACACAGCTAGAGGAAGTGGTGGAGCCAGGATAAATCTAAGCCCAGAGAAAGAACATAAGGGTTACTGTCCACTGGGCATGTTCAAGTTGTAGTAGGCTTTGGATGAAAATGGATCAAAACCCTGTGCTCTTCTTTAAAAACAAATGGAAATGAAGGTATCTTCAGTAAAGAAAAACAGACAATTTGTCATTAGGAGATCTGCCCTATGAGAAATACTGAAGGGAGTCTTACAAGCTGGAATGAAAACACTAGATGGTAACTTGAATCCACACAAAGAAATAAAAAAACAGCAGTAAAGACATTATGAAAGACTGTAAATATTTTTGTTATTCTTTTCTTTTTTGTCTTTAACTCTTTGTCTTTAAAAGACAGTTGTGTAAAGCAATAATTATGAAACTGGACTGACAGGCTTGTAACATACAATGGTGAAACTTGTATGACAATCATAGCATGAAGGAGGAAATGGAGCTATAATGAAACAAAGTTTTTGTACATTTATGAAAATTTAGTATTCATTGAACACTATTGTTTTTAAGTTAAGATGCTAATTGTAATCCCCAAGGCACACACTGAGAAAATATAAATGAAACAAGCAGGAAATTAAAAAGATACACTAGAAAATATCTATTTTACACAAAAGAAGGCAGGAATCAAGGACTAGAAGAAGAACAACAAAATAAGACATCTGAAAAAAGTAGCAAAATGACAGACGTAAAATCCTATCTTACCAGCAATTATATTGAATGTAAGTGGAATAAACATCCTAATCAAAAGGCAGAGATTGGCAGAAGAGATTAAAAAACATGATCCATCTACATGTTCAGAAAAAATTTACTGTAGATTAAAAGACACAAAAAGTTTAAAGTAAAAGGATGAGAAAAGATATGATGCAAAGGGTTACCAAAGAGAGCTAGAGTGGTTATACAGGTGTGAGAGAAAATAGACTTTAGAGGCAAAAATCATTCCTAGAGACAAGAAGGACATCTTATAATGATAAAAGGACCAATCTATCAAGATGAAAAGATTATAAATATATATGCTTCTAACAACAAAACCTGACGTAAAAACTAACAGAATTGAAAGGAAAGTAGGTAATTCAAAATAATAGTTGGAAATTGCCACTTTCAATATTGGATTGGGGGGAGTTAAAAAAAATAATGGGTAGAACAATTGGGCAGAAGATCAACAAGGAAATAGAAAACTTAAACAATGCTCTAAACCAAACTAGACCTAGCAGATTATCTAAAGAAGGCTTCACCCAACAACGGCAGGATACACATTTTTCTCAAGGACACGTGGAACATTCTCCAGGATAGACCAAATGCTAAGTCGTTAAATATGCTTCAATACATTTAAAAGGATTGAAATCATACAAAGTTTGTTCTCCAAACACAGTGTAATTAAATTAGAAATTAAGAACAAAAGAAATTTTGAGAAGTTCACCAATTTACCTTAAGAAACTGAAAAAGAAGAGCAAACTGAACCCAAAGTGAGCCAAAGGAAGGAAATAATAAAGATGAGAGTGGAAATAAATGAAAAAAAAAGAAAAAACAGAGAAAATGAATAAAACTAAAAGTTGGTTCTTGGAAAAGATCAACAAAATTGACAAACATTTAGCTTTTTTTCTTGTTTAGCCTAGCTAAGTATTTGTCAGTTTTGTTGATCTTTTCCAAGAACTTTTAGCTTTATTAATTTTTATTAATTAATTTTCTCATTTTTTCCTGTTTTCATTGACCATGAAGGAAACACAAATCACAACCACAATGAGATACCACTTTACGCCTGCTGGGATGGCTTAAATCAAGAAAATAGAAGTGTTGGTGAGGATATGGAAAAATAGGAACACTGATACATTGCTGATGGGAATGTAAAATATAGTACAGCCATTATGCAAAGCCGTATGGTGTGTCCTCAAAAAGTTAAACATAAAATTACCATATGACTCAGCAAGTCTACTCCCAGGTTTATACCCAAGAGAAATGAAAACATATGTCCTCACAGAAACTTGTATGTGAATGTTTATAGCAGCATTATCCATAATAGCCAAAAGGTGGAAATAGCCTACATGCCTATAAATGGATAAACAAATCATTGTACATACATACAATGAGATATTATTCAGCCATAAAAAAGAAGGAAACCTTGTCATTTGCGACAACATGGATAGACTTTGAGGGCATTATGCTACATGAAATAAGTCAGACAGAGAAGACAAATATCGTATGAGCTCACATTTATATATGGAAACCAAAAAGAAAAAAAATACCTCATAGATACAGAGAACAGGTTGGTAGTTGTCAGAAAGAGGCGGGCAGTGGGAATGGGGTGAAATGGATGGAGTCAAAAGCTACAAACTTTCAGTTATAAAATAAGTCAGTTCTGGGGATGTAATGTGCAGCATGGAAACTAGAGTTAATAACACTGTATTGCATATTTGAAAGCTGCTACTCAGAGAATGAAATTTTGCCATTTGCAGCAAGATGGATGGACTTCGAGGGCATTATGCTAAGTGAAATAAGTCAGACAGAATGACAAATGCTGTATGATCTCATTATGTGGAATAAAAGAATACAACAAACTAGTGAATAAAACAAAAAAGAAGTAGACTCACAGATCTAAAGAACAAACTAGCAGTGGGTTGATGGAGAGGGAAAGGGGGACAGGCAATATAGGGATGAGTGGGAAAAGGGTTGTTGTGGGATTATATGAAATCATGTATATGAAATTTTTGAAAATTGTAAAGCACTATAGAATATAAAGAATCATTCATTCAATAAAAATAAAAATTAAAAAACAGCTGCTAAGAGAGTAAATCTTAAAAGTTCCCATCACAAGAAAAATTTTTCTGTAACTATGGTTGGTAATAGATGTTAACTAGACTTATTGTGGTGATCATTTCACAATATATACAAATACCCAATTATTGTGTTGCACACCTGAAACTAAGAATGTTGTATGTCAGTTGTACCTCAATTAAAAAAAAACTTTATCACCCCTCCCACTTTATTTCTATAAGAAATGAACAGTCTAAAAATGAGATTAAGAAAACAATTCTAGGGGAGAGGGTATAGCTCAAGTGGTAGAGTGCATGCTTAGTATGCACAAGGTACTGGGTTCAATTCCCTGTACCTCCTTTAAACATAAATAAATAAAACTAATTACTCCCCCACAAAATAAGTAAAAATTAAAAGGAATAAAAAATTTTAAAAAGAAAACAATTCTATTTATTATAGCATCAAAAAATAATCAAATACCTAAGAATAAATTTAACAAAAGAAGTGCAAAACTTGTCCTGAGAAAACTATAAAACTTTGTTGAAAGAAATTTTAAAAGATCCAAACAAATGGAAAGATAGTCCATGTTTCAGAAGACTTAATGTTGCTACGATGGCAATACTCCTTAAATTGATCTACAGATTCAACACAATCCCTATTAAAATCCCATCTTCTGATCTTTTTGGCGGAAATTGATGAGCTGG